CGGAGATATGGGCAGAGATGCGGGGATATGGGGAGATATGGGGGAGATATGGGGAGATATGGGGGGATATGGGGAGATATGGGGGGACATGGGGAGATGCCGAAGAGGACCCCCTCCTGCGAGATATGGGGAGATATGGGGGAGATATGGGGAGATATGGGCAGAGTGACGCCCTCCTCCTCGTCCCCGTCGTCGTAGGCGATGTCCGCCCTCCCGTCGGCGTGCAGCCTTGTCACCGTCCCCTGTGGGAAGTGCAGCCGAGGTGCGGCCGAGGTGCGGCCGAGGTGCGGCCGAGGTGCGGCCGAGGTGAAGCCGAGATGCAGCCGAGATCTAGCCGCGATCTAGCCGAGATGTAGCCGAGATCTAGCCGAGCTCCGATGGGGCCGCCGTCACCGGGTAGAACTTAGTGCCGACGGCGCCAAGCGCGGTCGCGCCGAAGCGGGCGCGCACCTTGGCCCCAACGTGGAGCTGCGGCGCCTTCGGCGGCACGGACCTGTCCGAGCCCCCCCCCTCCGACGCCCCCTCCGCCCCGCCGTGCCCTCGCCCTCGCCCTCGCCCTCGCCCTCGCCCTCGCCCCCCCCGTCCGTCGGCCGGTTTGCGCGCCTCTGCCGCCTTTGCGCGCCGTGCCGGCGGGAGGCCGTCGCTAGCACCGGAGGCGAGCTGTCCGCGCGCCGCCGCCGCCCAAGCGCGCAGCTTGAGCTCGACGCCTAAAAAGAGAAAAACACCGGTTGGGCCACAAAAAAAGAAAAAAATCCCTCGGCGTCGCGCAGCTATAGCTCGACGCCTGCGACCGCCCTGTGGCCGATCGTCCCCTTGAGCCAAGCCGAGAGCTGGCCGGGCGAGACGCCCGCGTGCCGCGCCACCGCCGCCTGCGCATACCTGGCGAGCCACTTGTCGCGGTACTCCGCCAGCAAAGCCTGGTCGCGCTCGTCGGTGCGCGAGGCCTACGTGCTGAATACACCAACCTCAGGGCACGAATACGGTATTGTGCAGTGTGTTCAGAGCACCGCGCGAATACAGCGGAGAAGGAGACCGGTGAATACAGCGGGAATACGTGTCCCTCCCGGGCGCTGGTTGGGAGACATGAATACGTATTCCGCTTCTAGGGGTGTGGCCGAGGCGGAGGAGCGGGCGGCCGACGCCGCGCGGCGCGCCTTGGTCTCCTCCCACTCCGTGAGGATGACCTGGTCGATGATGTGGCGCTCTGGCTCCCACGTGTTCCACCTGCTGCCCCACCCGCGCCACTTGATGCGGTACTCGAGGCCGCCGCCTATCGGACATGTCTCGGACGTGTCATGGACGTGTGCTGGACATGTCTCCTCTGCGGTGCTCGAGGCCGCCGCCCTCGACGCGCTCCTCGACGATCTTGTCGACCTGGTAGACTGGGGCGCCACCCTCCTCCTCCTCCGCCTCGCCTTCCCCCTCCTCCTCCTCCTCCTCCTCCTCTTTCGCCTTCTCCTCCTCCTCCTTCTCCTCCTCCTTCTCCTCCGCCTTCTCCTCCGCCGTCGCCTTCTCCTCCTTCTCCTCCTCGCTGTCCTCCTCGCACTCCCCCTCGCCCTTCTTCTCGCCCTCGTCCTCCTCCTCGTCGTCCTCCGCTTCGCCGTCTCCCGCTGCCGCCTCGACGATCGCAGCCTCCTCCTCGGCTGCGGCGCACTCGGCCGCTGGCGGCGAGGGCCCGCTCCCTGCCGCCTCCGGCGCAGCCGCCTCCGCCGCCGCAGCTGCCTGTCGGTCGAGCTCCTCGGCTGCAGCATCGATGGCCATCGGCGACTCCTCGCGACTCTCGCCAGCCTCCGCCGGCGGCACACAGCCGTCGTCGCACGACATGGGCCGCGTCGGCGGTTCATCGGCGCCCGGTGCAGCAGCGCTCATTGCGTCAGCCTCGATGAGCATCGGTTCCACCGCACCGGTTGGGGCGCAGGGCTCTGCCGGCGGCGAGCGAATTGCGGCTCCGCGCTGCTGGTGAAGTGTTCGCGCCTAGGAATCTGAGTTCGCGCGCCGGCAAAAATTGGGCAAAAATTTTTCCCCGTTGCCCGGCAGGGTTGCTGCGCAAATCTCGCGCTGCGCTAGGCTCAGAGCGAGTTCGCGCTGCGCTAGGCTCAGAGCGAGTTCGCGCTGCGCTAGGCTCAGACGGCGTGCGTGCGCGGGCCGCCGGGGTGACGGCGGGTGAGGACCCCACCTCCTTCCTTCCTCGGGCTCGGCAGCTTGTCGGGCCGCTCTACCACTACCACTACCTCAGCCCTCAGCCGAAGCTGGGGCCGGTCCCGTAGGCCGTCCGTAGCCGAGAGAGCCCCCGCGTCCCGATGAATGGTATTGGTCGTCGAACGGCGGACGGGCGCGGGCGGCGCGGGGGGGCGAGACGGCGCAGCATTCCCAGCCCCTTTGCCAAAGCTCCCTGTTTTGAGGGCATTAGTAGAACGGAGAGAGATCCCTTTTGGTCCTCCTTTGAAGCTATTTACACACGACCTCACGCTGGAAGTGGCGAATCGATGCGAGCGCGCCGCGTGCTCCACGCGCGGCGCGCTCGTATCGACTTGGAGTCCAATGCGCGCAGCGGGTAGAGTGCTTCCGGTAGCTCGG